AGTTCATCCAGCCAACAGTACCCCAGCACACACACCTTAGTAAAGCTATAAAAATACGGCATATGCTGGTTCCCTCCCAAATACTCCCCCAGTATCCAGCAATTTGTGACTCAAGAACTTCCTCAGTCAGAGGCAGTGTCTTTGTATTTAGTGATCCTCTGTGGAACTTTGAGAACTTCTCCTGTGTTGCACAGAACTCAAGTAGATTTCTACCATCCATGACGTTCTGTAGTGAGGAATTCAACAGCGTAGGTGAAGAGCTGTCTCCTCTTCAGAACCCACTACCTCCTCGCTTCCTTTTATGATCCTTTGGTTTTGTATCAGGAGAAGACAATGAGTAAGTGTTGTCAATTCACTTTCTCAATGACACTTGTAGACCTCTGTGAAATCTTCCCCCATCTCCCTTTGTTGTAACACCGTAGGAGGCACAGTCTATTCAGCTACAGCTCGTTGGAAGCTGTTCCCATACCCCTGATTGTCTCCAACACTCCTCATCACATCTTTTCAGTTCTACCATATTCTATTTAAACAGAGGGAGCCAGAACTGTACACAGTATTCATTAGACCACTGACTGCGTATTTACAATAAAATATCAATTTTTCATTTTGTCCACATTTGTTTTGGGTTTTTTTCACTGCTGTTGCTGATCCTTGAATTGACATTTTCCTAGAGCTATTTACTGTAAGACTAATATTTCACTCCTAAGTGAAATATTGAGCCCATCCAGATTAAGTTTGAATTCCACATGTGCTCCCATGCAATACTTTACACTCATCCACACTTCATCTTCTGCCTCACTGCCTGGCTGCTCATTACTAAGACATCCTTCTGGGGCTACTTGCATCTGGCCTCATCTTTCTCACCCAGAACAAAGCTTTCTCAGCTGTTCTTATTGTAAGCTTATTTTAGCTGTTCAAGGAAGGGCAAAAAGAAGGTGCAGAAGGAGAAGTGACTTTCCTACAATTTTACTGTGACTGACTGGCAAGCACTTGGCAGCAAGAAGCTTCCCAGAAAATCCCAGCTCTGTTAACCAAGCTCTCTGGAGGACTGAATCCACCCCATCTTGCCCTGGTAAGGTCCCCCTTCTATTACCAATGACATGGAAGCATGAATCACAAAGCTTTAGGAGCTCAAGCAAGTTCCTTGTTCAGAGCAAGATATGTAGGTTAAAAGTTAATTTTTTTTATTCAGCTTCTTGGTCTGATTTGGAGTAATTAAAGGAATTAACCTGTGCCTTAGTTCTCCAGGAATGTAACACGGTTAATAACTTTACTTCTCTCACAAATAATCTGATAAAATAAAATCCACTAATGCCTTTCAAGCACCCTGATACCAGAGCAATGCAGATCCTAATGTAAGAACCCTAAATTTTCTGTGGGAGCATTTTCTGCGTTTCTTGGATATCGTTACCTGTGGCTCAGGTAAATGTTTGTTTTCAGAAAAGTCTTTAATTCAAGAAGAACTTTCTCCTGTTACCAATAGAAATCCTGATAGCTTGTTCTCTCCCTCCTGTCTTTTCCAGCATTAATGCTATTGTATTTGTTTAATGGGGTTAATATGCTGCTGGTATAATAATGATCATGTACGGATGTAATTATAATGTGTGATTAATTCTGCAGCTGTTGAAAACCTTGGAGGACTTTTCTTAGGCGAGGGAATAACTTTACAATAGTTCTTCTCAAATTGCGTTACACACAGACATAAACCCCAAAAGAAATGTAGAAGGGAAAAGAGGGAAGGCTGGATTAGAGGAGAGAGAGCTGCACCCAGCAGAGCAGCAGATGAAGGTTTAACATCACATGGGCAGGCATCTCTCTGTTTTGTGTTTATACACTGACTAGTTCAAATGATTCCTGTTCCATCACTGTGATCCCAAGGTATTACAACCATGCACATAGTATGTAACTGGTTATAAATTTTTAAAGATGTCTCTGACAGTGGTGTAGGCTTCTCTTGTTACATTTTTTATAATAAACACCCTTTAAGAGAACATGCTGCGTTTTGTTCTAAGAAGATACAAGACCACAGAACAAAATATGAACTCCTACAAAATGTTAGCACAGGTTAATGTTTTTTTTACAAGAACCAAATAGAATGAGGTGCACAGCACACAAGCCATTAGCACTAAAATACCAACAGTGTCCACATCTGACAAAACTGTAGATGCTTTCCTGCATGAGGCTTTTTGGCACACAGATAATTTACGGTCTGATGCTGCAGCCATACTCTTGAGTGCTCTTAAGTGCTCTGAATTATAATGGATCTATTTATGTGATCAGGGATTGTAGGCTTAGGCCTGTAACTCAGCATGTTACCCAGAACAATACCTGGACACTTATCCTTGCCCAAACTATCCTTAAATCGCACAAATGTGACCCAAAGAGAAGACACAGATTTAAGTTTCTGTAAGATGTCCAACTGTTTTCTAACCTGGTTATTACTCATGTAAGCACCCATGACTTTGATATTTACCTGACTCAGTTTAAAGGTGAAGGAGATGATGTGCCCAGGAAAAACTGAAACATGCACTACCCTCCTTTTCTTCTCCAGGAAACCAACTCTTTCAGCCTCTGCAGCCTTTAACACCTAAAATCACCAATGCCCCAGTCCAGTTCCTTCTCCTGCTCACAGTGAAATCCCTGTGCCAGGATGTCAAGAAGGAAGCATGCATGCTATAAGAGTACAGCTGGCAGAGAAGAGGATAAAGATGGGCAAAAAACACAGCTGGAGACTTTGCTGTTATTCAAGACCCTCCTGCCATTCTCCACAGCTGCAGCTGGCAGCAGCAGCCAGTACTAAAGCCACTGGGCTGCAACAGGACTACATATGGGTCCTGTGTAGAGTCTGTGCTTGCAGGGCTGGGAATAGAGATGGATTCTGTCCATTGCCTTCTCCTGGTCTTACCATAAATGGCTGCCCTGAATAGCAGTTTGGGCTCGGTATTTAAGTGCCCCAAAGCACTATTATATCTGAAATTTCCATGATACTTTACAGAAATCACTCCCTCTGAGCCTCAAACAACAGAACCACAAATAGGACCTATTTAAGAAAATGCAAGGGCTCTTTCCTCACCCTCCAGAAAGCGGGATACCAGCTTTAGTTTTCACCTCTTGAAGGACTTATTGAGCATCTCATTCAGCCACCAGCATGTTTCAGACAGTAACGATCGGACCTCACAGCAGTCCCCCACAGTGCCTGAGGAGTTATCAGTGAAATGCTGCTCCAGCATCTGACACAAGTGCTGGTTTTCTTCCTTCTTTTTAATTTCCTTCAGTTTCTACTTCACTGGGTTTTCCTTTTCTCACCACACCGCTGGGAACTTTGTAGGCACAGAAGAACAATTCAGAAAGCAGATGCAACAATGCAACTTGGAATAAAAGCAGCATATTGTGATAGGTTCAGAATTTGCCTATAATCATTTATGGATCTCTGTGTTTCACCTAAAAGCTGATCTAACACTGAGAGACACTGGTCTGACAATGTTAAAGTTCTTTTGGATACAGAAAGGATGTGAAGAAACAACTCAAGATAGTCTTAACAGCAAATATGAAAGAACTGCTATGGACTGTTAGTTTGGTTGACAGAAGACTTTGCCCATCTTATCAAACAGAATAAATTAGATTTATCTGAAGCCCCCCAAACATAGAAATGGAAAATCCAGTCAGAATTTAAAATAAAAAGTCCCTCAAGGAATGCCTCCTTTGCCCATATCCTGCTTCTGTTCTTTTGTCATCAACAAACACAAAATGTTTTTAATAAAACATGTAAATGTTAACAAGAACATGCCTTTAAGTAACTCACATAGAGACCTATGTTACTACAGACAATAAAAGATGAGCTAGGACTACACAGACTGGGGTCAGGTGTTTTACTGTTGCACAGGCTTGCCCTTAATTCTCGAGGGACTAACTGATGACACATTATTTTTGTAATATACTCCAGTATAGTGTAGTAGAAACTTGAGTTTTCACATCCATACACTGAAATATTGCATAAATATTTTGCTAGATCTGGGCCAAAGAGCAGAGTATCTTGCAAAAGCAATCTTAGCATTTTGCAGCTACAGATATTATGTCAAATCCAGCGAAGGCAAGGAACCGTCAAAGGTTATTATCTTTGACAAGTAGGCAAACATCACGAAAAGCAAACACACCAACAGACAAACAAAAAACACACATTATTTCACATTGCCATCAGTTGCTGGTGTCAGACAGGAGGCAAAAGGACAACACAGGATGAATACAGTGCTGCCATTCAACCCCTGAATGAGGCATCCCAGTGGCAAAGCAGATAAGACCAGGTGCTATGGCTTTGTGACTCCATCTATATCATGGACAGCAGCACTATCCATGTCAAGGACTAACTACAGCTCAGGCACTAACTAAACCTACTGTAAGGCAATTTCCATTTTTTCCTGTAGGACTGGAGGAAAGGAACTCAACTATTGTGACCCTGTTGTGACAACTTTCCAATTTTCCTTCTGCAGAAGATTTTCTTGTGCAGCAGCCGAGAATTCACAGCAGGAGGATCCCCAAGGGGCCCAAAGCACCAGGTCACCCAGCGCTCAGCAGCACAGCAAGGGGACTAAACAAAGTATAGCCCTGGGAAACACTTAATGGCACGAGGCAGGGCCCCTGTGGGTCACATGGTAACATATAAACACTTGGAAAGTGCTTCTTTCTTTTTATGGATCTGCTGAGAATTACCCTGTGCTTTGGGTATAATGACACTTTTGCCTTAATCAGATGTTGTAAAGGTATATGCAATAAAACAGACATTCAGGTATTACCATCCCATCAGCTGTGTCTTCATATGATTGCCTCCAATTACCCTGTAACATTTACCAACACACGCATCTGAAATAAAGGCTTTTAATTTTTCATCAGGTGCTCTGCAAGGAAACCCGGCTCAGAAAAGGCATAATTGAATATCTCGAGGAAGAAAATAAAAAGCAAATTTTGACTCAATGGTGTTATTTAATAGCAGCGAGAGTACTTACCAGGTGGCCTATTAATTGCGAGGTTTCGGAAATGACTGCCTTTGATCATCTCCACCGACAGCCGCCCCGTAGTGGCATTGTATGACAATCCCACGAGCAGCTCTGGCACCCCTCCATGCGACAGGGACTGTGTTGAAGAAGCGCTATCACTGTGAGAGATTGCTGACAGACTAAGCTGAGAATCTGCACTCTGCAGGGAAAGAGCACCAAGAGAATCATCAGGACATTCACCACCACCCTCCCCCAATTTATATCTTCTAGTCTCATTTGGTAACAGCTCTCTTAAGAAATTACAATAACTAAGAATTAATTATGCTGGGGCACCAGGAGAATCAGAGCGTCACTTTTACAAAAACACATCTCTGAACTTTCTCTTTAAAGATGAGGAACTCTGCATAATGTGTTATCACTACTGTAAATCAAAGCCTCTGAGATAACCAAACATCCTACTACATTAATGCTCAGTCAATCTTCATAATGGCTTTTGGATGGAATACAGTTTGCAGTTTGGGGTTTTTTGGTCTGTACATTTTCTTACTTTCTTTCCTTGCTCCCACAATGCTCTCTATTCCCTCTTCACCTGGAGTTCGATGTTTTATTCATTTTGTGTGCACAGCCTCTCACTGAGCTTTTTGTAGACAATGAATCATGACAGAGCTCTTCTACACAAATTGATTGGCATAGCCAGAGCTGGATACAACTGTGATGTGCTTGGAAAATTAGGAAGCAGCACAGCCAGTTCCTCTTCCCGTGACCCACCTCTCCAATTCCATCTGTCATGTAAAGGAACATTACTAAGCATTTCTGGCAACATGGAAACTGCACCATGTGGAGATATACAAGCTAATAGCTAGGGCCAAATGAGGTAGCTCCTGCACTGGCAGTAGTACAGGTCCACCAACACAATGGTGCACAAGAATCACTGTCCTTATTGAAATTAAGACATAATTAGCCTTGGTGGTTCCTGGATCAACCTACTATTTCTGAATGGCACAGCATGTGATGATTCGTGTAGATGTAGTACATACACATGGTTTGGTGTCAGCTTGCTAGCTGATCTGTTGTTAATAAAGCACAGCTTTGCATAGGGAACAAATATCCTGTGCTTCCCCTTACTGATAACTTTTTAAGTGATAGCAGGACAGATCCACCAGTCACATGCTAACAGCCCTGAATGACAGACGTCAGGTAAGGCTGGTCCCCGCTCACCAGACAAACAATTTTATGGATCCCGTATGTCTTTCACCAAACTTACACTCAGGTTACTTCTGGGCTCCAGGACCAGTGTCACCTTCACTTCCTCTTCCTGGCTGATGTTGCTCAGGTAGAACAGCTGCTCTCCCATCATCTTCTCTGCAATCATCTTGTGCACCGCGTAGAGGCGGAAGCGAACGGCGTGGCTGCTTAACTCCTGTGGTTCCAGCTTACTGAAGGCAATTTTGTCCTTGAAGATGGGGATGGGTCCTCTCTGAACGCTCGTTTTACCCCTCTGTTTCTTGCCTGGCATCAGAACTGTGTGCACTTGCCAGGTGTTCACACCGCTGCGGTCTTTGTCTGGGATGTCCCTGGCCTCCAAGATAGTAACCACCAGCTTTTGACTCAAGGGTTTATAGTTGAAGATGACATCTAGATCACCACATTTGCAGATGGGCTCATGAGTGCCATGATGAGCTGGTACACTGTTCACTTCATTATGTTCCTGCAAAGAGAAGGAAGAAATAACACCTCCACTGGAGTTCAACTGTCTCTGTGATCTGAACTCCATTTAAAAAAGGTTGTTCTTCCTCGTGCCTGCAAGTGTAGGCAGTTCCTGTGCAAAATAAAGACCCCACTGTTTCTTGAAAGGGCAATTATTGTTAATTGCCTGATTTTGTGTAATATTCCCCATACACTCTAGAAAGCAATAGCACTTGTTGAAACATTTCCAACAAAAAGTTTCATCAATATCTAAATGTTTTGCAGGAGACAGTTGATTTGGAAAACATTCCTCATAAGGAAAACCTCAACAAAGGTTTTTTTACATTTCATTCATGTAAATTTTGAGGCATTAACAAAATGTTTTGACCAACTTACTTATGTAAGTAAGTTTGACCAACTTCAATGTTTTTACCAACTTGCAATGTTACTTTGAACGTACATTGGAATTTTTTGTCAAGACATATTTTTTGCATTAGCAAAATCAAACAATTCAACCAAACCTGCTAACTTTTTAGATATTTTGTTCTGCTATAAATTAAAAAAATTAAGCACTGTGGTTCAGTTTGATGGGAGAGGAAATCACCATATCAGAATTTCTTGCAAAATTGAAATTCCATTTCTAGATGCTACCCTATATTTCAATACTTTTCCTACAGCTAAGGCAATGATAATGGAGAAAAACAGTCTGATTAAATACATACCGACTCTTCATACCCTTTTTAAATCTCCCAAGAGAAGCATCTGTTCCTTCTGTTCTGTTTGGATACTAATACATTCAGAATAAAAATTCAAAATAAACAAGCACAACATGTGCAGACCAATCCACACACAATCTTTTACCTACTTTTAAAACAAAAATCATCTTGATAAAACAAGATAAAAACATGGATGCTCACCTTACCTTTTGCTGAGTGGGCGTGTGCATTTCTGTTCAAAAGTGCTTTTTTATCTCAGAGCTAGAATGTGCTTCATGTGATAAAGGGGTTGCTATAGTGATCAATGATTTGTATTTAAACATGAGTATACACTGTACTAGGGAAAGATTTTCAGTTAATAGCCAGAAGGTGAATTAAGGCCTGTCACCAGAATCTGAGTCACCCTCCTCCTCAAACATTTCTCTTCTTTTGCATTTCAAGTAACACTTCTTTTCAACACAGGAATCTTATTGTTCAGAGAACAGATGATGGGCCTTGGGATGTCTGATGTAATTCCCTTCAGAAGTGTCTAGGGTGGTGCGTGTCTCAAACAAGGCCTCAGATAAACATCAAAATTTGTGTTTACTTCCTGCCAATCTACTTTCCTAGTGCTCAGATTAATCTACCATGACGTGCAAAGCTCCAGCTCTCCATATTTTCAGAGGTGTTTAAGACTTGTGCACATGAATACAAAAGTTCAAACGTGCAGACTGAGGCTGGAGACCTGCTGTCAGACATCTTGCAGAAGTAATGTCAAAGGGAGAAAAAAAAACCGCTTGGGCAACACCTAAAATGACTTGGTTGGCCACAAAAATACCTTTCTGTATGAACAGCAGGCTGAAAAAAAACAAAAATGCAAGGTAGGCCAGGTTGCCTGGAGAGAGCGTGGTGTTATGCAAATGTTAAGTGCTGCTCTCTGTAGCTGTCAAGTTATTTCTGTCTGGTTGATGAAATAATATTTAAGAAGGAAACGTAATGGGATTGTGCTTGACTCATATTTCCCTCCACATTTTCATCCCTTCACACTTTTATCTGTGCATTTGCTACTGAGGAGATGGAATCAAAGCACATTCAAAGGCTGCTGCTAAGGTGTGGAGACAACCGTGCTTGCAGCATAACTTTGCTTTCATCCACGTGCCTGAGCTGGAGAAGGTGAACTCCTGGGCATCATCATAAACCCACAGGTACGAGGATCCAAGAGGCAATTTCCCATCCCAGCAGGGCTAAGTATCTCACCTTCTGGCAGCGTGTTAGGGCAGGCTTAAGGTCAGAGATCTGGTTTTTGACTGAAGAGCTAGAAAGGATTTGGATTTCAGGAAATGTCAAATCGTGCTACTGGAGCTGCATTCACATCCACTGCAGAGAAAAACTATGTGAACTGGAGGCAGAGAGGGAAAGAGAAATGCCACACTCCGTGGCAGTAACCTTTCCGTGGGCAACCAAGCTTTAGAGACCTCATAGCTCCTTTCTGTGCTATCCAGGACTCACCCCTGTACGGGTTTGCTTCACACACAGTAATCTCCCTTCCGTGGAAGTCATTGACAGAACTCCCCTCAGCTCTCAAAGCTCAGCTGGGCTACAAGTGCATTGTGAACATATTGATTATACAGACACTTAAATTGGAATCCAAGGAATGACTGGGGTTTAGATATTTCATCTGAATTTCTTTCCCTCTGCCCAGCACAGTTGTTGTGAAGTCAAGCCAAATATACTGATTGATACTGCATGTCTAACCTGGTCATTCAGGACAGCCAATATCCACTTCACTAAGTAAAATAAGTCCATTTCTGCCAGAGAAACCTGAAAGAACAGCTAATCATGGATAAGGATTGAAACGGTACTTGTGGTTCCACTGCAGGGGCATAAAATTACCATTTCCGTCCCTAAAGAGAGGTCCTTTGAGTGGAGCATAATAGCACTTGGACATTTCTGGCATGTCAGAACATTTAGTTCCTGCAATAAAAAGTCTTTCATTAATGCACACAATACCTTCAGATGAGAAGCTGTTTGTAGCAGATAAACTGGGTCTTGGGCATATCTGCCCCCGATGCTAGAATCATTCTTTGCATTTGGAAAATGTAGATACCAGGAGCAAAACAAGAGATGTATTCCAAAGAAATACAAGAGGACACTGGAGACACTGAGGCACATGTGGACCACAGCAATGCACATCAAATTTGGAAAAGAAATACAAGAGGACACTGGAGACACTGAGGCACATGTGAACCACAGCAATGTACATCAAATTTGAAAAAGGATAAATGAGCCTCAGATGGGCAGACAAACAGCAAAAAGAGGGCAGAGCTGCTGCCACACAGAGTTTGCATGTGATGAGCAGTGTTTTGTGGGACTGGATTGTTCAGCAAACCAAAATGCTGCTCCAAACACCCCTTAGGGCTTGAGCATATGCCCCAAGGAGCTGCCTTCCATCTCTTTAACTGGCTGCAGGCAGCCTGCTCTGAGGATAGGAACCTTTCCCTCAAAGCCTTGTTGCTCAGAATGTGATGGAAGTATTAATTTCCACAGCTGAAGAACAGTCTCTTTTAACTCAGGCAAGTGTGACCTTTGTGTTGTTCTTTTAATATGTCTGATGCAGGCTGATATTTTTTCAGACATTTTACCCTGTGGTAAAATAATGAAAATCAACACATCAGGCAGAGAGATTAGGAGAGAAAAGGGAGATGCTAAGTAATCAGGTGTTTACAATGCCTTAAAATCCAAAATGTTTTTTTGAGGCTTCAAAATAAAGCTGCAGAACTAAGGGAAAGCAGCCTTGGGTTCCCTCCTTCCCTAAACGGTTGCCTGGTATCAGCGGGGACCAGAGTGATGGTCACTTGGTCAAGTCACAGGCCACCCCCACCAGCTGTGTCCAGCTTTCCAGATGCTTCCCATTGTCTAAATCATAGAAAATACCTGAAAAAAGAGGCACAGATCTGACCCAGTGACCACATACCACGTCCCGAGATGCACACCTTGCATGTAGAGCCAGTGACAAAGCCCTGGGCCACCACAGAGTGCTCTTTGCTAAATGACAGTAAATGCTGTCAGGCAGCTAATGGCTCCAATTTCAGCTCAGAGACTGCAGTCAGAAAGCAGGCAATAAAAGAGCTTCTGTGAATTAGTGTTAGTAGCAAGAGGTAAAATACCAGAAAGAGGGGAAACACAAAGGGAGGGGTGTATGTTCACCCACACATGCACACAGGAGTACCATTATCTTGGGCTGCGCTGATCAATTTTTCACTTCATTTCTCCTCTAACACTTTTTGGCCCCCAATATCCTCCAAAAGCTTACACCATGTGTGATAAATGACAATTCACAGTACCTCAGGGCTCCAAGCCGATGAGCTGTCAGTAGCATCATTTACTTCCAATCCCTGGTTGGCAGGTGCTGTCTCCATTTCCAAACGTCCTTCCGTGGCTGCCCGGCTAACTCCATCCCTGATGCTGGGCTCCATCCTGGGCCCTTTATGCTGCCCAGTGCCCCTATTCCCAGTTGTTGTTCTTGAATCAACAGATACATGGTCATCTCCACGATAGGATAGGTTGTCTTGGTAACTCAGTTGGCTTAGTCCATCCAGATCTAACAATTTTCAGCAAGAAAATAATTTCAGAGGGATTAGAACAAATTCCTCCCCCTATAACTTCAAAATGTGCCTTTCTCTCCTTTCTTTTCTTTTTTCTTTTTTTTTTCTCTTGTTTCAGTTTCTGAGTACTGCAGCGCTGAATCTATAAAATAACAAATCCTGTTTAAATCAGCATTTGATGGAGGGCACAGGGCTGAACTGAGAAACCAGTTGCCTTTACTTGACAAAGTTAACCACCAAATGCAATTATCAATGGAGTATCTGGGATATTCAAGTGCCTTGGAGCTGCTTTGCAGTCCCAAAGCAATCTCTTCCATGAAAACACAGGTCAGACAAACTACAGAAAAGCACAGCATAGGCCTGATGAATGGGTATGACAGTTTCCTTCCATGCAGGAGGAGAAGGAGGAGGAAAAGAGAGGAGTTGGCATTGTCCTCAAGGGCATAGTGCTGGTGAGGAAAGGACTTTCACAGAGATAACAGAGTGCCACCATGAACCTATCACCCCTCTGAGAGCTTGAGTGAGCATGACCAGCCCCACAAGCCAAGCAGGAATCTCCAAATCCCATGTTTGGGCAAAATTGCCCAAAGGACAGCTGAGGGGAGATGTGTTCTGTTCCCTAATTTCCTGCCTGCTTTTATTAGTTTTAATTCATCTGTTCCTACACACTTACTCCATGGGCTAAAGTTAGGCTCATTAATGAGAACAAAATAATCTTCTCTGGTTCACACCACAGATTCATTTTCTACTACCATTGATGTCTCTGTTTTGAACACAGGGATCTTTTCTGCGCTTGAAAGCACCGGTGAGAGCTCTCTGGATGGAGCAGCACAGATAATTACATGTCCAGGGACACAGATGGAAACAACATCATGATTTGGCCTTGGATGTGGCCTGCAAGCACTTTCAGGAAAAAAACAAGGTCCTTCCTTCTCCTAATGCATCTCCTGATGGGCCTTGCTTTAGGAGCACAAAGAGCAAGATTCTGCCTCCATCACTTTCAAAGAGGCAAGGAGCAGTTACAGTGAAAGAAAACAAGTTTTGCTTCCAGACAGCTGATGACAGCAATGAAAACAGAATTACTTCCTTTGCAGGCACAGCTATTTGGGGTTTAGACTCACAGAAGGAGTTGAGGTTGGAAGGAACCTCCAGAGGTCATCTTGTCCACTCCCCTGCTCAAGTAGAGACACCTCCTTGTTTGTTCTTAAGAGGGTCATTATTACAGAACAATCTTTTTCTTTCAAATTTGGTCTCCAATTTAAATCTTAAAAAAATAATATTAATTACTGTGTTTCGTAGAAAACTATTAGTTTACTTTTGTTTAGATGAATCAACGTTTTTATTCCCTGACAAATTAGACAGGGACCCTGGTGACAGCTGGCATGGAGAAGGCTGAGGTACCCAACAACTATTTTTTGTCTCAGTTTTCACTCTCAGTTGCTTGTCCCACACCTCTCAAGTCCCTGAACCTCAAGGCAGGGACTGGAGGAATGAAGCCCCACCCATCTTAGGAGATCAGGTTTGAGACCTTCTGAGGGACCTGAACACAAATCCATGGGACCTGATGACATACATTCCAGGATCCTGAGGAATGGGCTAATGCAGTTGCTAAGCTGCTCTCCTTCATATTTGAGAAGTCACAGGAGTCAGGTGAAGTCTCTGGTGACCAAAGGAAGGCAAACTTCACACCCATCCTTTGAAAGGGCAGCAAGGAGGACCCTGGGAACTACCAAACTGTCAGTCTCACCTCTGTGCCCAGAAAGATCATGGAACAGATCTTCCCAGAAGATATGGCAATGTACATGAATGTCAGGAATGTGACAGAAATGTGACAGGAATGTGACAGTCAATATGGCTTCACAAAGGTCAAACCTGCCTGACCAAACTGGTGGTTGCTGTGATGGAGGGACTGCATTGGTGGATAAGGGAAGAGCAACAGATGCCATCTAATTTGACTTCTCTAAGGCTTTTGAGATGGTCCTACACAACATCCTTGTCTCTAAATTAGAGAGATATGGATTTGATGGATGAACCAAAAAGCCAACTGCATTCTGGACTGCAACAAAAGCATTGTGGCCAGCAGGTTGAGGAAGTGGGATACTGCCCCTCTACTCCACGCTCATGAGACCCCACCTGGAGTTCTGAGTCCAGCTCTGGGGTCCCCACCACAGGAAAAACATGGACCTGTTAGAGCAGGTCCATAGGAGGGTCATGAAAATGGTCAGGGGGTTTTGTATGCACCTTTTGTATGAAGAAAGGCTGAGAGAGCCTGGACAACAGAAAGTATCAGGAAGACCTCATTGCTGCTTTTTGATACTTAGAAAGAACTTATAAGAAAGAGGGAGAAAGACTTTTTACCACAGTCTGTAGTGACAAGAAAGGGGGTAATGGTTTTAAACTGAAAGAGGGTAGATTGAGATCGGATATAAGGAAGAAATTCTTTACTATGAGGTGGTGAGACCGCTAGAACAGGTTGCCCGGAGAAACTGTAGATGACCCACCACTGGAAGTGTTAAAGGCCAGGTTGGATGGGACTTTGAGCACCCTGATCACAGCAGGGGCATTGGACTAAACGAACTTTAAAGATCCCTTTCGGCCTGACCCATTTTATGATTCTCTACACATTCCTCTGTCTAGAACAAAAAGCCCAAATCTTTCTGAGTAGAACAAATTCTATGTTTGGCCTTAGCAGCAAATGTGGTGTTCCTAGTGCATATCTGCTACACACACACGCACACAAAATCCAACAAGGGGAATGGGGATTATACTCAGGAAACATTTCCTGGAGGTGTACAGAAGTCCTTGCCCCTCTCCTTGGTTGCCCTTTCAATTTAACAGCTCAGAAATTAGGAGAATAAGTTCATCCCCTTTCTTCCACTATGAATGGTCTCACACTCTCCCTCCCAGTAAATGCTTCCAGCACAAGCACTTCAACAGAGGAGTATGAGAGCATCTCACAGCTTTGTAATTATCTCCTCTTCCTCATGGGAGATGGTCCTTCAGGAGCAAAGAAGGATCCAAATTCATCTCTCTCAAATTCCAGGTGAGTGCTCTTCTCACTCCCTTCTGAAATGCAAACCCTATTTCTTCTCCTCCTCATCCTCCCATCTGGCAGAACTAGTCCTGAGCCCAAAAGCCTTCTTTGTTTTGCCTCTGCCCTAAGCTGAAAGTCTTGAGCGAGGGTAGAAAGTAATTTGACTTTTTGCTATTCTTCTCTACAAAGTCAGAAAACAGAAAGAAGTAAACAGAAAGAGCGTAAGCAAGAAATAAAAGAACAGAAATTCCACACATTTACTGAGACTGAATGGATACCAGCGCTCCTTAAGGCATTTAATTAGCAAGCCAATGCCTAACACACATTTTAAACAGTGGGTCATCCATCAAAGCACACACCACACAGCAGGCTTTCAGAATAAAATGCTTCTGTAGTAAGAAATTATCCTCACACAATTGTCTTGTGGGTTTGACTCCTGCTGGGATAATATCTAGATCAATAATAGAGGAATTTTCAAAAACTACATTAAAGCCATAAAAGTCTATTCATAACAGGAGAACTCCAGAAATATATTAATAGAGCAAGCCATCTTCCTAAGACTCAGGCACAAAATGCAAAATGAATGTGTTAGGAAAGCAAATGTAGTATTCAGGGAAAGGAAGGGAAAAGGTGATTCACCAAAACCATTCAGAGAAGTAGTCTGGCTTTTTCTTTAAATTTAAAGTAATTTGGTAAGAGATAATCACGTATAAATACCAGTATTAGAGGATCATTACAGGTAATAGCCCAACCATACAGGCTAGAACAACTACACCTCTCCAATTACATCCGTTCTAACGTTATATTCACAAAATAAACGGTGAAAACAAAAGTTCTTCCTGTAAAGGAAAAGGTCAGAGCAGTAAAATGCCTGTAATTTACCTGAGAGATCTTTAAGGAAGAAAATGTCAACTGTCTTATGAATACCTGACATGAATAAACAGCACAGCATCAGGGATATAGGTTGAGACAGCATTATCTAACCATCTGAACTTTAATTAGCCAAGAGTCCCCATAGAGAAGAGCAGCCAGTTCTAAGATCAAGGGCAGATAGTACTGTATGTCAGAAGAGTGTGACTTTTCTTAAGAATCCGGTCCCCCAAACTTTCCCTGTCGTGTCATATGTGTCCACAAGGAAGGAGCAAGGGGAATGACTGGGGAACAGAAATTACCAATAAATCAGAAAAGTCTATATTTAAGGTTGCAGAACTGGTCGTGAAGAAACTGTGACTTTTGTCAGATGAAAGAATGAGCGTCGCCTCCTAATCAAGCTGTAACAGGAACTGGGATATCTCCAAAGACAGAGGGAAATACTGGCACATCAAACACTGAAAATTAGGCTAGAAAATACTGTGAAGTCCACCCTCACATTGGCAGGTAAATGTTCTGGCTAATCTACAGTATCTTTCTTTTTTTTAAATGACACACAATCTCTCAGTTTTATGAAGGATTACAGTGTGCCAAAGAAATGTCCTGAGAGGTCTCATCACTTCCTAAAACACACTGCCAGAGCTAAAATACAGAGCCTGGTAGATCTTACTAAATTGACACCACATAGGTCATCGACCAACAAGAAACACATATGAAGAGTTTATGTGTCCCTATTACCTGTGCTGACCGAGGCCATGTTTCTCTGTGAAATCTTGGGAAATCCTGTCCTTTCACACACACACAAAAAAATAAAAGTATGTCTTTTCTTTGTGATTTTCCAAAGTGAAAGAAAAACTCATGATGAAAGGTAAGAACTTGTTTAAATATGGTCCAGAGGAGAAAAGGATTTCAATATGGATCTAGGTACTTCTGGACTTGAAGTACTCCTAGCTCCCAGCTTCAACCCTTCACTTCCTAAAAGACAGTAACAGCAGCAGAGATACAAATTAGTGAGACTGAGGCATATTTGTCCTCATACAGCAGAAGTCCTCTTGCCTGGTCCCTGCTACAGCCCCAGTTCCAAATCACTGC